TAAATAATAACTATTTATCATTAATAGGAGTTATGGAAAAATTCTAAATATAACTTTTGGAAGAATTTGATAAATAAATAAAGGAGAAAAAAATGAAAATACTTATTCAGGTCGAAAATGAATCTCCGGAAATACTGGTCAGAAGGTATACGTATAATATATCGTTGGAAAGAGGAGAATTTTAGAAAAAAAAACAATATCCATTATAAAAAGTTTAAGAAGGTAACGAAGAGTGGCGAAAACAAAATAAATAATAACACGTTTTCAAGGAAATTAAATGAAATTTTCTTATTGTATGTAAACGTTTAAAAAAAATTTAATTTTTAAAAGTATTTAAAACCCACGGCAAGGACACTGTTTAAGTTTCATTGTACTTGTGTGAAAGAAGAAGTGAAATATAAAAATATTTCAGAGATACTTTTATAACCTTAAATATATTTACTGCATGAGAAGGAGTTGATCGGGAGGTGTGGTTAAATAAATAAATAAATTTATTTGACCGCTCCCCCCGAGCAACTCCTGATATTATATCACGGTCAACCATCTCTACATCATTATATTTACTGTAGTTTAATAACACTAGATGTGACATTTTATTTAAATCATTAGGTATCTGTCGTCCGTTTATTCCGAAAAATCATTATGTAACCGTTTAGAAAATTAAATTAGTGAATAATTTGATAAATTTCCCCTTTGCGATATTCCAACAGAATCCATTTATAATCAGTGTGACAACGTTTGGCCAGTATATGACAAACAATGCAAATCTCTTAATTTCGTTTTAATAAACTTCACAATGGAAAATAACTGTTTAATAACTAATTGTAGTACAATCTATAATCAACGGATCGTACAATACATAATCAACCGGTGGTATAATAAATAGGACTTTGGTTATTTTAATAGCATTTATGATTTGTTAGCTGCAATATTTTAGCTTTAGCTCGGTTAAAAACGTAATTCAAAAATTTTATAATACCCTAACATGGCCAGAAAATAATTTCTATTCATAGTTGAGCGGTAAGTGAAAGTTGTGTGTTGCGCGCACCACATTTTTTATCATTAGCATAGGGTTCAAAGAGCATTTTGATTACCATAACACCTTGGTGTTCGTTGGCGCGACGTTCTTTCCGATTGAAATACGAAATTCCAGGATCCTTTGAATGATAACTTATCCTATGAAAATACGAAATTAAGGAAGTTATTAAAAAATGATTTATTTGACTCATTTCAACAAATTACAAAGCAAAACATATTTTGACAATTCAGTAAAAACGTTAAAAATATACTTAACGATTTATAACAAGTTTAAGAATTCAATAGGGTGTGGGAAATTTTGATTGGATAAGAATTTTGACTGCAGAAGATATGAGAAAATTATATTTTTATATCTCAATTATATCAAATTATAGAGAACTGGTAGAGTAGTCTGGAATATTGTCCTCCGCATATTATGGCAAAAATTCCATATTGTACATTTGCATGTAATCTGTCCGGGTCTTTATTTTTTGTTGTTCGCATAGTTGTAGGAATATTTTAATTTAATTTTAAAAAATAGTTTAATAATAACATTTTTTTAATAATATGTGTATTTATTTATGTATATTGTTGACAATTTTAGATTTTATATTAATTTGATAATTGAATCTATTTCAACGCTGATTCTACGAATAAATTTTATATTATCCTTAAAGTGTCTGTAACTTCTAGTACATAGAAATATAAATAAAAGTGGCACTTCCGTTAGCGATTATTGGAGTAAACTTTTTGCTATCACATCGATCAAGTATTACACTGCTTTAGTACCATCACGTGGTTGAGAGTACCGTAGGGATCTCTGTTCTGCTTTCCTCGAGCTTGGAGTTCACAGACCACCCACAGATGTCATCACGACTAATTTCGGGACTTGCTAATTATGGACTCAACTACGTGTATTTTTTTATTATTATTAGTATTAACTTGCTTAAAACTGAAAAATAGCATTACTTCAGTAACCATTCAAAATTTAAAATACCAAACGAAGTATATAAGTTGGAGTTAAACATTTAAACAAAAACTATCTTTCTCAAATCGCGATATCTCTAACTAGTGCTTTGATTTCGATGAAATTCCGTTAATTTTTAGAAAATTGAAATCACAATATTCAGCAAAAAAGTGTAAATTTTTTGAGTTATTCGGAATTTAATTTTACCATCCCTCGTAACTTTTTTCCAGCTTCTTTTCGTTGAAGTATGTTATATAAAAAAAATTAAAGCGCGTCGAGAAGATGACTTTAGGGAAGTTTTGTTGAAATAGGTACATTCGTTCAGGCGCTACAGTCTATAGCAACGCAGGTTTTTCTGCATTTTAATTTTTTTCTGCTTTATTAACTCATCAAATTCTTTCAAAATTTATATTTAGCATTTTTTCGTTAGTCTGAATAATGTGAAATAATTTAATTTTTGAAAATAAATCATATTAAAGATACTTAGAGGAAGACGTATATGAAAATTGGGGATTTAAGCCCAGTAATGTGACGTCAACCGATTTTAAGGAAAAAGTTGTAGCGACATCTAAGGCATATACCTATCTTAAATACGTAATATCAGTTTCTCACGACTTTTCGTTTTCGAGCTAGAATGTTCAAATACACTCAGACACACAGACGAATTTTTCGGGACTTGGTCATTTGGACTCAGGTTACCCCAAAACGTGTATTTCCGTTGAAAACTCAGATTAAAAAATTTTCACTACCGCAATACTTACCTTTACTATATATTAAATAATATACGTAAGTGAAAGTAATAATAAACCAAAAATATTTTAAAATCGCGATATTCTACTAATAGTGCTTGATTTCGATGAAACTTCTTTCATTTTTTAGGAAATTTAAATATCTTTGAATCATCAAAAATACTTTTTGAGTTATTCGGAATTTAATTTTACCATCCCTCGTAAATTTGTTTCCTGCTTCTTTTCGTTGAAGTATGTTATATAGATAAATTTAAAGGGCGTCGAGAAGAAGACTTTAGGGAAGTTCCGTTGAAATAGGTACATTCGTTTAGGCGCTACAGTCTATAGCAAAGCAGGTTTTTCTGCATTTTAATTTTTTTCTCCTCTATTAACTTATCAAATTCTTTCAAAAGTTATATGTAGCATTTTTTTATAACTCTGAATAATGCGAAATGATTAATTTTTGAAAATAAATCATATTAAAGATACTTAGAGGAAGACGTGTATGAACATTGGGCATTTAAGCCCAGTAATGTGACGTCAACCGATTTTAAGGAAAAGGTTGCAGCGACATCTAAGGCATATACCTATCTTAAATACGTAATATCAGTTTCGTACAGTTAACGAATCGGAGGCAGTGAAGACTTTATAAGTAATAGTTTTATTCCTAATGTTACAAATGGCATCTAAAATACAGAGTAATACACTATGGATAATGGGTTGACTACATCAGTTCACTCCAGGTCTCCTACAGTGAAGAGTGTGACTTCAAGAATGTAACTACATGAGTAATTTGGTCTGAGGAGCATGGGATTATATACTCAGGAATAGTAGGGGGGGGGAGGGTGAATCAATTCTGGACGGTCTAGGAAGCGTGTGAATGAAGTTATAACTATTAAGAATTGATATCCTTATCTTTTAGAATTGATATGAAGTCTGTGAGAAAGTGCTCTTTTGCTGAAATCTGTTATTGTTCCCTAAGCTTTGATAATGGGTTTTGTGTCCAGTCGGTACATTCTAGATAACTATTTCTAAGCTATCAGAGATAACTTGACCTGGCTATCTAGAGCTTTGTGCTTTTATGATTTGAGTCGTGAGAAACTAAAAGATGATAAATGATTCACCTATTAGGATATTTAACAAAATAAAAGTTAAATTAATATCATCATTATTGTTATTATTTGTTACGGATTAAGTCCGTAACTGTACAACTTTTCGTTTTCGAGCTAGAGTGTTCACATACACCGAGACACACAAACCATTTTTCGGAACTTGGTCATTTGGACTCAGGATACCCCAAAACGTGTATTTCCGTTGAAAACTCAGATTAAAAAAATTTCACGATCACAATACTTACCCTTACTATAAATTACATATATAGGTAAGCGAAAGTAAAAAAAAGAACTGTTACATACATTGTTGTTTATGTTGCAACACAATAATTTGTCATTTGTTGCTGATTAATTCCTCTTAAATTAATATATAAAGTCTTTCTTTCAGTCACTAGGAGACACAAACACTGTAAAATGTCACAAGACACAATCGCTCTGTTCTGTGCCTAATACATCATATACATATATACGCAAGTGAAAGTAAAAGGAATGAATTTATATTTGCATAAAGGTATTAATGTTCGTTATTTTGTGATAGACTCCTCTTGTATAGGGTTCTCCCCTTAAAACAAATAAATATTGGATTGAATTGATTTATAACAATAGCATTATTAATGTGCTAGAAACTTGCTTTTTATTTATATTTAATTAAAAATCTTGGAGACTGGTATTTTTATTCGTGCCTAAACTTTAGGAATATATGAGTTAACTATGTTAGACATTAAAACATAGAACTTTGAATTATCATAATATCTTGAAAATAGAGTTTTTTACAGCTCTCATTGTACGTATACCATACCATTGTACGGCCGCATCAACTTCTTCATCCGGTGGCTTCAAGTCATTTTGAAGGTCTTCTGCTCTCGAACGTGCATAGGCTCAACCTTCTATATCTTCGTGTAAGATTTTCTTGAAGTGTTCCCTCCATCTCACCAGAACATCCTTTTTTTTTTTGTCAATAGATTTCCATCTGCGTCATTGCAACTTTTGGAACTTGCTTCATTCAAACCTTGGTTGGAAGACTGATCTCTCTTCGTTAACTTTCTGGAAGTAAAGGCGACTGTGCTTCTCAGCATACTCCAACCCAATTTACATACATTTAAGCCAATTCTTGTTTCAAAATATAGATAAAGTAAAAAGAGTTTAAATCAAATGGATAATTTGTAAAGTGATGTATATTTTCAGGAAGATGGATACAATTATAACAGCTGTTCTAACGATTGTGCTGGCTCATCTTGTTTGGGGATTTATATTATGGCTTCGAGTGCGGAAGCTGTATTCTTATCCTGGGCTTCTGGGTTTTCCTGTTTTCGGAAACCTTTACTACTTCTACAAAACATTGTTCGCATTCACAGCTGATAGTAAGTATGAAAAGATAATTTAGACATTGCTGATGATTAATATTGTAATAGAGAATACTTGCAATTGAAATGAGAATGATACCTAGGTCATTTACCCAAAAAATATGACCAGCAGAAGAAAGAATACAGACAAATACCATGAATGGAATACCATTGCATTCAGAACTTCACAGAGGATTAGCGAATCGTATTCTCCACTTTTGCTGTTCTCCACTTTCGAAAATAAATAAAGTCGATACAAACATTTTTCTTGGCTTCAACACTGGAACGGTGGTAAGTCTGTAAATCGATACGGGACAAATTGGATCTTGAAGATTTTGATGCGTACCCCAAGACCTGCGTTTTTAAGCCCAAAAACGTACTATTTTCGAGATAACGCAATGCATAGGGTTCGCCTACACACAACCTTACGTTAATTGTAGTACTGTCATTGAATGCATGTCTCATTTCGTCGGCTTGAGACCCCTATGATCTAGAGAGGAGTTTATATTGTTTATCAAAGGTGTTTTTTTTTGTCGGTAAGCCAACCAGAAAATTTAGGCAAATAATTTATGAAAGAAAACAAACTTTATTTGCGAACTAAAAAATTACACACTTTTCCCTTGCTTATGCCCATGATTATATAAAAGATTACTAAATTCCCTACAAAAGGAAAAAAAAAAATCATCGAAATCGATTAGAAATTTTTCCAATATTTTTTTTTCATTTAATATTCATTAGGAGAGTTCTATTATAGCCCATTTTATTTTAAACTAGCTATATATTTGGCATATGGCTATAGTATCAGCCGAAGTGGAAATAAGTTGTACTGTCCGAAGGAGGAAAGTTGGTTCAAATATATTTGAAGGGAAAACAGAAGTGAAATTTCATGATTATATAAAAGATTACTAAATTCCCTACAAAAAGGGAAAAAAAATCATCGAAATCGGACAATTTTTAGCAAAGATATAGATTATTGAAATTTGCAAACATGTTGGTTCCAAACATTAATGAAGATTTAAGTTAATTTTTGTTTCCTTTGTCGTTTATATTTATCGATAAAGTAACAATTGATTCCTTTATCTTTTAATACGTTGCATTATTTACTTTCTTATTAATTTAGCATTTGATAACAATTTGTTGTGCGAATTTTTCGCACGGGCCTACTTGTATATATTATTACAGTAAGGCACGAAATCGGTTTTGTAAAAAATATAAGCTCCTGCCATGCTCAAATACCATGAATGGGGTTAGTTAGTAAGCCGAAAAAATATTCAATAGGCACCCAGAATATTTAGGCAAAAAATTTATGAAAGAAAAGAAACTTTATTTGCAAATAACTCAAAAATTACACTCTTTTCCCTGTCAATGGTTATGTCAATAATTATATAAAAGATTAATAAATTCCTTGTAAAAGGAAAAAAAAAAATCATCGAAATCGAACAATTATTAGCAAATAACTAATGTTGTTTCCAAACAAAAACAAAAGTTTTAAATTAATTTTTGTTTCCTTTGTCGATTATATTCAGCCTGAAAGTATCAATTGATTTATTTTATGACACGTTGTATTATTTTATTTTCTTATTATTTACTGTTTGATCATTGAACAATATACTGTGCGAATTTTCGCACCGGTCTACTGGTTTATAACAACGAATGTTTTTTTTTTTTTTTTTTAAATTTATTTCAGGTTTTATGGCATCCTGCTCCACTGTGGGGCGATGTCAATTATCTTTTACTGATTTGATATCGAGCTTTAAAAACACGCTATGATGTATCCTGATATATAATGATGTATCCTGATGTATAATGATGTATCCTAATATATAATATGTAGATTGCAGAAACCTGTTTATTGTTTAGGTATGGTGAATCAAATGATCAGAGTTAATGAAAAATGCGGAAAAGATGGGTTATGCTTCCATTTTATTTATGGTTACAAGATAGCAGCAATAGTTTCAAGTCCTGAAATTGTCAAGGTAATATTATTTCATATTTTCACAATTCTAATGTTTACAATTGTTTCGAGTGTGTACCCTTGTATAATACATTTTTTATATATACAATATATGTTCTTTCCTGAATTCCTGAAAAATTTAAGGAAATCAATTATAAAATTATAGAAAAACGCTACAAATTATTTAACAATTGTTTATTTACCAACAATTATACATCTAAAGTAACATTACCTTCCTAGTGATAAATTTAAAGAAATAAATAGTTATTTCCAATTATTTGTCAAAACATTTTTTTTTATCATTAGTAATTTGCTAAAAAAAAAAATATCTTACTTCAGTAACGAAGAGAAGAATAGTTGGGGTGGTCAGTCAAAAAAGAAGGCAAAAATAAATGATAATATTTATTTTTACATATGCCGACGTTTCGACCTGAAGTTCAGGCCTTCAATAACCAGATAACAAGGTATGAGAAACATAAGTAGTGATGGTAAAAAAAAAATAAATAAATAAAAAATTATAAAAAAATAAATAAATATAAAGTAAAATGAAATTGTTAGAATAATGACAATAGTAAGAACTAAGAGATAAATAATAATAACCGTTACAAAGTGTGGAATGATGAAGTAGGCATAATCAAAAAGGGTGACATAAGTGTTAAAATGGGAATCTTAGAATAATATGTAAAACATAAAAAAGAAATATGAGAAATTTAGGTATCTAGGTTCTACAACAACTAGAAAAAACGAAATTGAAGAATAAATTAAGGTTAGGCTGAAGGCGGGAAATGCTTGTTATTTTTCTGTGACAAAACTACTTAGTTCGCGCCTCTTATCTCGGAACTTAAAAATTAGAATCTATAAAACAATTATCTTGCCTACAGTTCTTTATGGATGCGAAACTTGGCAGTTCACATTAAGGGATGAGCAGCGTCTTAAGGTTTTTGAAAATAATGTATTGCGTAGAATATTCCGACCGAAGAAGGATGAGTTAACCGGAGAGTTCAGACGGTTACACAACGCCGAATTGCGTGAACTGTATCCGGGTAATATAATTGAGGTAATTTCATCGCGGCGAATCAAATGGGCTTGTAAAGTTGTTGGACTTAGTAACGAGAGAATTCCTAAAAGGTTAATATTTGCTGTGCCGAATGGTAAGCGTCTGAGGGGTAGACCGAAGCGAAGGTGGGAAGATTGCATTAAAGCCGATCTGAAGGGACTGGGTTTGGACGGCGAACGGTGGAGGGAGGTGTGTAATAAGCGATTGGTGGTGTCGGCATCGAACCTTCGGGTTCGCTAAGCCTTATTATTATTATTATTATTATAACTTTTTTTCCCTGAATTTTCTCGTGAATTTAGTCTATATACGAAAATTGAAAAGACAATTATTAGAACATTATAGGAAAGTTTCATCAAAACCGTTAGAGCCGTTTTTGCGCTACAGTCTATTGAAAAATATGTTTTTCATTTATTGCGCGCAAGCTACTGCTCATGGAGAACCAAATTTCTGTCACAGGCATCAGTAGTCAAAACCCTCCAGAAAAAAAAAATCGGTTCACTATTTACCGAGAAAAACTTGGCACAGACAGACCAATGACTAAAAATGTGTGTTTCGGACTCAGGCGGCTCTGAAACGTCGAATACTGCAAGATAAAAGGCAATAGCCGTTGTAAATACAATTCTTGGAATATTGCGGTAGCCTTGGTTTCCGGCATCTTTTTCCAATTAAGCACGCTCGCTTTGACCACTGAGTTATAACATCCTGTGACCCTTGTCCGTGGGAATAAGTCCGTTTGGAACTGGGCATCTTGACCATGTGTGTGACCATATTTATGTGACGTGCATCCGCCCTGATTCTAAAAACCTGTCAATGTCACAACCCCGAATATCAGGCAGTTGTCCATCGGATTCCTTTTGAACTGTCAAGGCTTCAGCCCTTAGAGAAGTTTTATTACTTTACTTCTGAATATCCTTTGTCCAGTATCCCTACCAGCACTACCCCTAATTAGTTCTTAGAAACCAAGATAACGCCCATCACCCCCTCTCCTCCTCCGACCAAACCTATCCCCACCCCAGAGTTGGGCTATATTACCGCCCTTAATATTAGAGAAATTCATTCCATTCGATTCCATTCAATTCCATCATTCCATCTGTAAATATCAGTAGATGTAACTTATGTAACATTAGTTTAGGCCTCACAAGGCTAGTTTGTAAGAGGTTCACTAAGATTATGTCAATATAACTTTATATTTCACAATAAAAGTATATTTGAAAGTCTTCACTGTTGTACGAGTTCGTTAATTTGCATATTATAAATTTGACCCGATCGCAATACTTTCCTTACGTAGCATATGTAGGAAAGTAAAAAAAATTACTAGCCGACATTTAATTTGTTTTTATTGCATGTTAACTCCATTAATAACCTGTAACATATTGTTAATATGAATTTCAGAAATTATCATTTCATCCCAACTTGGGCGACAAGCCTTATGAAATATACGCAGGATTTCATGATTATATGAAGGGACCTTTTAGTATTCAACGTAAGTAACTAATGGATATTTATTGTTATGAATTATTTTCTTTTTTATGATAAATAAACTAATTTTATTTTATTTTATTGTCCTTCGAACAATAGTCGATGCTCCTTTCTATGTAACCAACAAAACCCTACATCATGACCTCAACATCCCTGTTTGTCCTAGACCTTATCCCAGAAAAATTCTCCAAAGTTCACCAGAACCTTACGTACCACCCAAATCCTCTTGCACAATCCCTATCAAGCACCTCCCATCCCTATAATCCTCCTACAAGGTTGAAACGGCAGTGGCCTCGCGACCTTTTGTAGGAGTTCTGGCAATGGCCAGATTCTTCACTCAAGACATGAGTGTGTGTGGCTAAAGTGCTCTCGACCAATCTCCGCTGGCTTTAGTACCAGTGACGCGGTTGGGAGAGTAGCGCAGGGTTCTCCTAGAGTTCCCTCGCCTGATTGTATATAGGTATGCATGTGTTTTTTTTTTTTTCTTAGTTTTAATTTTCTTATTTTTTAGGTTATTTTATTTTGTGGGCGGGGTAGCCGAATGGGCTAAAGCGTGTGCACTGCACCGCCGTTGCCTGGCAACCTGACATATGAATTAAAGATATAAAAATAGTCACGAGTTCGCGTCCCGGTGCCGAGGGAGTCTTAAAAAAAAAAAAAGTTATTTTATTTTATTATCTATTGTATATACTTTTGATTATTATTTTGTTCTATTTATTTTATTTTTTTGTACATATAGTGTGAATGTCATCCTACCTCACTATAACCAATGTCCAAGAGACAGATTGTTATAATACTCAATAAAGAAATAAAAAAAAAAAATTTATTAATATCAGGTTTAGGAGAACAACCTCCCTATTCTTGCTGTAGAAAACTGCACACCTGATCAGATCTCAATTCCGACTTTAATCGACCCCAAACGTTGGTTACCTCAGTTATTATTGCATTGTCTGCAAAGTAATGCAGGATTTTGGTTTAAAAAGAAAAAATTACAACTGTTTTATTTAATAAATAATGGACTATGATCTGAGGAAAGTTCGTCAAGGAGAGAAGGGGATGATTAAGAAGACCTAAACCACTGTGGATGAAAAAATCAAGGATATCAGGATTGCGGTTAGGATCTGTGGGCCAGTAGGTAGGTGAGTTGGGAGGAAGGAGATTGAAACGTTGGGAATTGAGTGCAGACAGCAAGGATCTACCACGAGAATTCGTGGTTCTTGAACCCCATTCTTGATGCTAGGCGTTTAAGTCTGCACCCAGGATGAAGTGATGTCCTAAGGAGTTGAGGGAAGAACTGAAATGGATATTGGATATGGATCTATTAGGAGGGCAATATGCTGATGGTAGGGTGACGGGAAAGGAGAAGGTGTTGATTGCAATGGCGGTGGATTGTAGAAAATCTTGAGTAGGTGATGGGAGAGGGATTGGTGTACAATGACAGCAGTACCGGCATGTGCTCTACCGTCAGGATGGTCAGTACGATATGTCAAGTATTGCGGTATTTTGAAGTGCTGTTTAGTGGTTCAGTAATTAGTGCCACATCAATGTTCTTGTCAAGTAGTAAAGTAGATAGTTCGTCTGTATGATTTCTAACACCATTCGCATTCCAAAGGAGAATGGATATGGGTTTAGGGATGTGAGTCATTTAAGGATTTTTTAAAGGAGGGATGAGGTGAGATACGAGATTTGTGAGGAGTGATATGAGTGGAGTAACAAGGGATTTGAAATCGGTGAGGAAAGATGCTAACAAACTTGTGAGATCTGTTGCATTTGAAGGAGGAGGAATATGATGAATTTGTTGTTGATGGTTAGGTATATTAGGATGAAGAGGATTTTGAGGTTGGGGTTGAGGTTGTTGTGGCAGGGCTTGACATTTATCGGTTGAAGTCTTACCTCTAAGTAGTTGGGAGAATGATACATCATTGTTTACAATTCTAGAAGGTTCTCTCTCTCTCTCTTCTTGGTCTTCCTGCTTCATCTTGAATCAGTTTTTCTGGTGTCTGATTTTGAGATTCTTGTAAATTTGACAGCCTTTTTAGTTGGCCGGGTGTCCCTCCAGGCATAGGGCACACACTGCAGGATCTTGTATCGGTTTACTGCACTCCACAGATTTGTGCTGTTCGCCGCACTTCACGCAACGCGGCAGATGGTGACAATATGTCTTCGTGTGGCGATAGGTCTGATAATTATGGCACTGCACGATTTCTCTATTGGGGTATGGTTTCTCATCTTTCACCATTGTGTAATATATTCTTGCAATATCATTAATTTTTCCCGGTGATGGCTCCAAGTCTACGAAAGACAATGGTAGTGGGATTTCATTTCGTAACCCTGGCTGCTCCTTGTCTTCCTTTAAAACGTTGGTTACCTGGCGTACATTGAAATCAAGAGTCGTTAGTTCTTCTTTAATCAATTCCGTTGGGGTTGAGGAGTGTAAATTGCTTTGATGTTATTATTCTTAAAATTTGGATTGAAATGATTGTACTTTGTGTAATTCCGCCTTTTTTGCAGAACCGTAAATCTGTGAGGCGTATGGATTCATATGGATTTAAGTAGGTAAGTGTATGTATTTAGTTTTTGTCTGATTTTCAACTTTGATTTTGGAATTTGATTTTTTTATTGCAAAATTCATCAAGTCAAAAACCCTATGAGGCTTAAAGTCAAGCCTTGAAGGTTCGAGGTTTAAAGACTCTAGAGCCGAGCTTTCACGAATCGAGGCTTGTTTTTACAACTTTCATCCAAAACAATTCCTCACAACCCTCCGATACGTCTGAAAAGAAGATGGCCAAGAGATCTTCTAAATCAATCTAATCTTTGAGTGTTACCAATTGGTAGTCTCTTTACATGTTATATGTTCTTTTATGCGATATATATGTGTATACAGTTGTAAATATCAATAAAAGAATATAAAATCAAAGATCTTCTATTTCTACACTTATTGTCAAATCAATAACATTGTCTGCTTAGATCTGTCTGCATAGTTAATCACTCCTGTTGTAGATGCCGATGAAGCATGGAAATTGAAGAGAAAGGAATACAATATTTTTTTAAGGAGGTCGAATGTTAACAACGATTATTTTAATTCCTTTGCTAAATCCGCCGATAAGTTTGTCGATAAGTTGTCGACATCCTCTGACGGACATGGCCTTTCCCTAGCTATAACACACGATGCGTCTTTCAGTAAGTTATCATTTAGAAGATAATATACACGGTGTCTCGTAAGTAGAGGGAATAAGTTTATATAAACTATGGGCCAATTTTTAGCAGAAGAGTAGAAAATCCAAGTTTTGTGTTTCTTTAAGTAAGTCATGTTTTTACTTTCACTTACCTATGAAATATACAGTAAAGGAAAGTAATGCGATCGTTTTTTCGAATCTCAGTTTTCAATGGAAATACTCGTTTTGAGGTCCTCTGAGTCCAAATAACCAAGTCCCGCAAAATGGTCTCTGTGTGTGTTAACAGTCTATCTCAAAAACGAAAAGTACGAAAGTGAAATTGCATATTTAAGGTTTTTATATGCTAGGGTTGTTACAGCAACTTTTTCGTCAAAATCAGCTAAGAGGCACTGCATGGACTAAATACTTCTTTACAATTTTCTCGAAAACGGCTCTAACGATTTTGATTAAAAAGTAGTTTTAAATAAAATGTAGTTTTTATTCTGATTGATGTTCTCTAACAGTGCTTAAATGGCTAATTTTCAATAATAGCTTCCTCTAAAGTACCTTTAATTTTTTTTTATTAGAAACAATAGACCATTTCACATTAATCTGTAATATGAAAGATAGTTAAATATAAAATATGAAAGAATTTGATAATTAACTAAAGGAGAAATGAGAGATCGTAACGGAGAATAGTGGTAACTTGGAAACCAAAGGAATACGAACACACCCGAACTCGCCCGAAAGATTAGAAGCTTCCATACTATAACATGAGGTTAATATAATACGAATTCTGACAGTATTATATAAATATGCTTATGCGGTTTTCATACACTTCCCTTTGTCTGAAAATACTTATTTCTACTTTGAAGAGAGTGGTAAGTGAAAGTTGTGTGATGCACGCAACGCACCAGATTTTTGTTGAATAGGAAGGGATAAGTAAAAAAATATTTAATGTACGTAATTAGCAATTGCTTCACTTTAAACGAGATAAAATTTACTTTAAATGATAGTAGAGTTTGTCGTTGTAAAAATTAAATGTTCATGATTATAATATTTACGTTTTCATGAAAATAATTAAATCAATCAGCAACTTTCTTTATTTCAAACGTAAATTTTTGTACTAGAAACATTTAGTGTGTCACTTATGAATACTGATCAATTCCTACGATAGAAACCTCGGTGAAAAAACACAGTTTCATAAATACTTTATCTGGATAATATTTAAAATAACATTATTTATAAAAAAATCTGTTCTGCGCAACACATAACTTTCACTTACTTTGAATATAAATTATTTTCTGGCAATGTTGGGCTATTATAAAATTTTGAAGTGTATTTTTAACCGAGCTAAAGCTTAAAGCTTACAGAAAAGAAATCATTAATACCATTACGATAACAAAAATTCTATTTATTGTATCAATGGTTGATTATGGATTGTATTACTATTAGTTATTAAACTGTTATTTTCCACAGCAAAGTTTACTAAAAAGAAATAAAGAGATTTACATTGCCTGTCATATATAGGTCAAAAGTTGGCACATTGATTGTAAGTGGATACTATTAGGATATCACAAAAGAAAAATTCATCAAATATTCACTAATTTAATTTTATAAAAGTTTACATGATAATTTTTCGGAATAAACGGACGATTAATACCTAATTATTTAAATATAATATCAGATCTAGAGTTATAAAACTACAGTAAATGATTTTAAGATTATAAACAATGCCATGAAATATTTTTATATTTGATTTCTACTTTCACACAAGTACAATGAAATAGTATTTTAAACAATGTCATTGTTCGGTCATTTATTTGGAGAATAATTAATGGTTTATTATTTCCAAACAGTTATAAATCTAAAGTAACATTACCTTCCTAGTTACAAAGAAAAATAAATAAAAGGTGATTCCAATTATTGGACTAAACTTTTTTTTTTTTTTGATCATTATCATTATCATTGATCTGAGAAGGAATTAGTCGAGGGTGCGGTCAAAAAAAAAAAAAATAAAAAAAATTAAAATATATAAATAATTTTAATTTTTGCCAATTTTAATTTTTTGACCGCACCCTCGACTAATTCCTTCTCATATCATATCAACGGTCAACCATCTCTACATCATTATCATTGATCATTGATATGCTAAAAAAAATAGCATTACTTCAGTAATACATTCAAAATTTAAAAACCAAACAAAGGATATAACATTTGGAGTAGAACATATAAAAACAAAAAAAAAACCGGAGACCATATCTTTGCTCCTAATTGTCCAATTTTAACGATTTTTTTTTTGTTTTTAGGAAATTTCGTAAACTTTTAAAAAAACCATACACCAAAAAGTGTATACTTTGTGTATATGAGTCATTCGGAATTGGTTAGGGGTAATTTTACCATCCATCGTATCTTTTTTTTCCAGCTTCTTTTCGTTGAAGTATATTATATAGATAAATTTAAAGGGCATTGAGAAGAAGACTTTAGCCAAGTTTCATTGAAATCGCAACAGTCTATAGCAACGCAGGTTTTTCGGCCGCCATTTTGAAAGTAAAAGGCGAATAATAATGTCGATGAAGGAGGATCATCCTCGGGCGACATCTGATTTTATATCAAAATTTGAAAAAAATCGGTCCACTAGTTTCGAAGAAAATGCGCGGACAGCCATGGGCGGATCTACGGGGAGGGGGAGGCTTTCGGGCTGAAGCCCCCCCCAAAATGGTAAAATATAACCACGTTTTATCAAAAAAAAATATAAAAAAAGTATCTCTTTAAGTATTTATAGTTCGTGTGATTAATATTAAAAGGGCTTCAGGAATCACTTAAACACCATTTCATATAGGTAGTTAGCTTCTTTCTTTTTTTCTAAAGTAATTATCGTTATTTCTATGAAAAAAAAAGCTTTCGGGCTGAAGCCCTCCCCTCCTCCCAAAAAAAATTAAATCCTGGATCCGCTAGTGCGGATAGCGGACGGCGGAGAGACAAACAATTTTTTTTCGTTTATCGAATTCTACGTATCCTGAAACGTAAAACCTCTAATTTTGAGAGAGGGTTAAGTATTTGAATTTTTTGGTCGATCACATTGGTTCATTATTGAAAATAATAAACCAAAACAATTTTAAAAGTTTACATTTAGTAAGAAAATCTCTTACGGGGCGGGGTGGCCGAATAGGCTAAAGCGTGTGCACTGCACCGCGAGTCGCCTGGCAACCAGATATATGAAGATTTGAGAGACAAGAAAAATACGAGTTCGCATCCCGGTGCCAGAGGGGATTTTAAATTCCCCGCCCCCATCCTCCGGCCCGGGAAAATCCCGTATAGCCTAAACGGCGAGGTAGGGAAGAACACAAAAAAAAAAAAGTAAGAAAATATCATTCAAATTCCTTGAAAACATGTGATTTACGTTAAATAATGTTAGTTTTCAGAAATTATTAATTTATATATTTTTTATCTTCTACAAATTAATTTATTAGATATATCATCATTTCAAAAATTATCCTCTTTCCAACGATATATTATGCGTCGACTAATGTTTCCGGACATACATTTTCGACTTGGATAAACATTTTTTCTTTTTTCTCCTTCATTCAATTATCAAATTCTTTCAAAAGTTATATTTAGTATTTTTTCATAATTTGTAATAATGAGAGGTAGTTAAATATTTAAAATAGATCAAATTAAATGTACTTTAGAGGAGACAGTTTGACCATTGGGCCATTTAAGCCATGTTGAGCGAAATCAAGACGTAAATTACATTAAATATCACCACTAGCGGATTCAGGATTTAATTTTTTTTTTTGGGGGGGGCTTCAGCCCGAAAGCTTTTTTTTTTATGTATATAGCGATAATTAGTTTGGAAAAAATAGAAAGATACTAACTACCTATTTAAAATGGAGTTGAAGGGATTCTCGAAGTCCTATTAAACAAAATTACACGAACAACAATATTTTAAGAAATATTTTTTCCATCCGCCTGTCAACATCACTTATACATTTTAATCAGAGTTAGAGCCATTTTCGAGAAAATCGTAAACATGTGTAAAGTCTATGATATGAAGTGGCACTTATCCGTACATATGTTATTACAGTAAGGCTCGAAATCGGTTTTGTACCAAATATAAGCTCCTGTCATGCTCAAATACCACGAATGGGGTACCATTGGATTCAGAATTCCACGGGGGGTTAGCGAATCGTATTCTCCACTTTTGTTTTTCTTTCTAAAATAAATAAAGTCGATACAAACAATTTGCTAGGCTTCGATAATGGAACGGTGGTAGGTCTGTAGATCGATACGGGACAAATTGGATCGCATCCACACAACCTTACATTAATTGTAGTACTGTCATTGAATACATGTCTCATTTCGTCGACTTGAGGTCTCTATGATCGAGAGAGGGGGAGTTTATATTATTTATCGAGTGTGTTTTTAATCGGCAAGCCATATCATCGTTAATTTTTCACCAAATCTCAAGATTGAGCCACCAATTTCGAAGGCTTCCTTCTCCTTCAGGCTGGCAAAATAGTCCAATCACCCAGCAAATTCAGGCAAACAAGTTACACTTTTCCCTTGGTTATTCCCATGATTATATAAAATATTACTAATTGTTTACAAAAGGATAAAAGAATCATCGCAATCGGACAATATTTAGCAAATATACAGCTTACTGAAATTTGTATACATGCTGGTTCCAAACAAAAATGAAGATTTGAATTAATTTTTGTTTGCTTTGTGGATTATATTTATCGATAAAGTAACATTTGATGTCTTAATCTTTTGATAAGTTGCATTTTCTTATTTTCCTATTAATTTGGCATTTGATAACAATATGCTGTGCGAATTTTTCGCACGGGCACTACTAGTATAAACATTGAATACGTAATATCAGTTTCGTACGACTTTCCTTTTTGAGTTAATACTGTTCAACATACACACACAAAAACAGACAATTTCGTGGGACTTGGTTATTTGGACCCAGGGAACCTTAAACCGTGTATTTCCGTTGAAAACTCGGATTCAAATATTTTCACGATCTCAATACTTTCCCTTACGGTTTGTTACATATATAGGTGAGTGAAAGTAAAAAAAAAACCTGTATTTATGCAATTATGTTTATTATTATATGTCAGAAATTACGAAAAAACAAAAGATAAAAACTTTGTAACATTTAATTGTAGCCATTTTTGCTTAAAGCAGAGGTACTTTCAGGTGACAGATTCAAAATTCACCTCGTATTTTTACACAACAGGTGAATTTGAAGTTTTTTTCCTAATAAATTTCCGCTTAATTAATATGGATTTGAAGCTTATTGAACGGGGCAGTTTTTCTAAAACAGAGGTATACGTAGTATAGTTTGTTGATGATAAAACTTCGAATAAATTTTTATTTTTTTCAAAAACAGAACTTAGCTTTGTTTAGCCGATCTTATGTGCTTTTTAAATAGATTTAACTACGATAAACTCTATTTTCATTTAATGAAGAGAAGAATAGTTGAGGTGGTCAGTCAAAAAAGAAGGCAAAAATAAATGATAATATTTATTTTTACATATGCCGACGTTTCGACCTGAAGTCATCAGGGCTAAGAAAATAACCAGATAATAAGGCATGAGAAACATAAGTAGTGATAGTAACAAAAATAAATAAATAGAAAATAAAAAAATATAAAAAAATAAAGTAAAATGAAATTGTTAGAATAATGACAATAGTAAGAACTAAGAGATAAATAATAATAACCGTTACAAAGTGTGGAATGATAAAGTAGGCATAATCAAAAAGGGTGACATAAGTGTTAAAATGGGAATCTTAGAATAATATGTAAAACATAAAAAAGAAATATGAAGTTATATAAGAAATGAAAATAAATAGTAAAATTAAGACATTGAGAATGGAGTAGTTAGATAGAAAATTGAGATATTGTAAAGCCTATCAAGATGTACAGACAATGTATAATATAATAAAGAGTTAAAAACAGAGAAAAGGAATGAAAGGAAGGAGGGAAGAAATTGAGAAAGCTGAAATAAGAAATAAATAAAAGAAGTACTACCTGTCTCCATAAGTGTTGCAGGGAGAATAAAAGTCGTAGCAAGGGAGGGGGAGAGAGAAGAGATGTGTATGTGGCGTCATCTCTAACGGTTATCTGACGAAGTTGGAACTAAAGTACCGGAAGCGTAAAAAGGAACAAGAGATATATACATTCCACACTTTGTAACGGTTATTATTATTTATCTCTTAGTTCTTACTATTGTCATTATTCTAACAATTTCATTTTACTTTATTTTTTTATAATTTTTTTTTTTTTATATATTTTTTTTATCATCACTACTTATGTTTCTCATACCTTGTTATCTGGTTATTTTCTTAGCCCTGATGAAGGCCTGAACTTCAGGTCGAAACGTCGGCATATGTAAAAATAAATCATATTATCATTTATTTTTGCCTTCTTTTTTGACTGACCACCCCAACTATTCTTCTCTTCATTATCCACGACAGTCAACCATTTACCAATTATATTTTCATTTAAGTTAATTTCGTCTAGTTTACAATGCAGTCATTTTTAATTAAGTAATTCTGTAGTTACCGCTTCCTATTCAACAAAAAACATGACTTGTTTAAAAAAACACAAAACTTGGATTTGCTACTTTTCTGCTGAAAATTGGTCCAATTTGGTTGAACTTTAACATAAATCTTTTTGTCGATCTTGAGGTCTGATACCATTCCTATAAAATATTTTCTCTACTTACGGGATTTATCAAAATTATCTAAAATTAATTAATTATGTGTCTTTTTCAGAAACTCTATTTGGCATTGACACAGATTTAGTGTATCATCCTGAGGTTGTAAAAATAATGAACAGGTACGATATAAAATTTAGTGTATCGACAGACAAATAAATTTTTAATTGTTTATCGAATTCTACGTATCCTGAAACGTAAAACCTCATATTTTGAGAGGGGTGTTAAGTTTTTGAATTTTTTAGAAGAATATTGAAAATAATAAACAAAAAAATAAGAAATTAAATACATGTAAAATTTGATAGAGATTTGATTCCTATGTTTTCTACTATTTAGTAAGATTCTCACTTATTCATAATTAAGTATATGTAGCTAGTCCTTTTATAAATATTGTTACAAAGAAATATATATACAGATTTCAACAAAAATATTTTATACTAGACTCTTTTAGGTTGATGGACATGGGAGGAATTATTCTTGCAAACTCAAATGTAGTAAGAGCATTGGGTCCCGTACTAAGGCCATTATTTGATGTAGTCCATGCAAAAGCAGTAGAGTTACGGAAAATGGTAAATAAATGATTGTTAATTATACATTTACAATGCATTTTAATATTAAATGATAATATTATAATATACTCATATATATACATATATATATATATATATATATATAAGATGCCTCTGTCTAATCTGTATTTCTTTTAGGCTATAAAAAAAATAGAAAACACCTTATTGTATAAAAAGGAACCTCTTTCAGGTAAGAATAGTCATTTATTTATATCTCTAAAACCGCAAGTTCGATTGGCCTCAAATTTGGAGGGAATTTAGGGATTGGTAAATGTAAAATGAAATAGGCATAAATTTTATCAAATTCTATCTACTGCTCCAAAAAAAAAAAAAATACTTCAGCTTTCAGATTAGGAAATGTGTTATTTGATAGGCCTGTAGTTTGAAAGCGACGCATTCGATTTGACCCAAACTTGGAGAAAATTTGGAGAACAGTATAGATATAATTTATAACCAATTTCATTGAATTCTATTTAATAATAAAAATAAAAATAAATAATTGTTAACAATAGGATGGCTGTGAAATGTTGAAGGCACTGATCATATGGAGTGGGAATTAGGTTATGACAATATTGTTATGAGATTATAAAATTGTAGGTTTTATCAAAACAATTAATTGATACTGTATTGTTTGGTCGATTCCAAACGTTACTGGCATGACACTTACTCCCATTACTTAGATTTCGTGTAATTTTCAGTAGTTTTAAAGTAATTTTTACTCTGAGTTTGTAAAAAAAAAAAAAATCTTATTTGAGAATGTGTTTATTTCCATTGAAATTCAACCAGTTCGTCTTGTGCTCGATTTCCTCCTTGAATATCGAATTTGTGTGCACTTACCCATATTTTTATTTCTTCCAGCTTAATTAGTTTTGTTGTGACTGAAGAAAAGTATTGGTCTCGCTATGTGGTACAGATTTCAACAGAAAAAATTTTTTTTTTCAAAAACTTTATTAGAAAATAAGCTTTATATCCATAGAGAGTAAAACAAGAAAGAAATTACTCAAAATGTCCCCCTTTTGCCACTTAATGTCACACAGGCATTTAATCTCCGTGGCTAGCCATCTTCTTGAGAAAAGCGCTCCACCAAATGTATAGAAAGTAAAACAAAAAAGAAATTATTCAAATAGTCCCTTGAAAAAGGCATTTAATCTCCGTGGCCAGTCATCAATAGCAGCACGCAGCACTTCTTGAGGAAAGCGCTCAACTGCTCGGACCAGAGATTGTTTGAGGCTTTCCACGTTATGCTCTGTGGCATGCCATCCTCTCCAGTTCGGACCAAAGCTGATAATCTAGTGGGTTGAGATCAAGGCTTCCTGAGGGCCAATCCGAGGCAGAGATGAACTCTGGAATGTTCTTTTGCAGCCACTGCTGAGTTGACCTGGCCTTGTGAGCTGGAGCGGAATCCTGCTGGAAAACCCAATGACTTCCAGCAAACAGAGTATCATTTAGAGGCTTGACAACAGGTTCCAAAATATCGTCCTGATAGTTTTTAGCGGCTGTTTTAACTCTCTTTTTCACAAAAATGGAGCTTTGTGGTGCCACCAAAGCAAACTCCCCACCAAACCATCACTGAGGAAGGTTGATGATCTCTTTCCACTCTTCCAATGACTTCCTGGGCTTCTTTAGAGCTGAATGCGTACACACGATCATTTTGGTGATTAAGTATTTTTTCAATTGTGAAAATTTTCTCGTCGCTAAACATCTTTCGATGAAGACCATTGGTGTAACGACCAAGGAGCAACTTTGCATATATCCACTCCATTTTTTTTTTAGATAAGTGATTGGCCTTTTGTCTTGTCATTCTTCGAAATGCACCCATCCTAAGGTCACTTTTCATTGTGCGAGACATGCTTTGTTGTTTTGGAATGGGATTTCTTCTGATTCGAGCAGCCACTGCTCTCACAGGTTTCTGTGAACCTGAAACAACTGATACTCAAAGGTTTCAAAATGTTGAAAATCTCTGACCTACATTTTTCAACTTTGTGTTAGGCGATCACAACTGTTCGGTTTTCTTTATCACCCACTCCATGTTAACTGAGCGAAAGAAAAATATAAACTAATTGGGATTATTATCCTGAAATGTAAAGAAAATAACCTGATAGAGGTAAGGATTATCTAAATAATACAATACATTTTTTTTTGATAATATTTTTTGATTCTTTTTCCAAAAAAAAAAGAATCAAAAAAATATTATAAAAAAAAATGTAAGCAAGAATTGATACATACATATAGATACATTTAAATTACAACTGGAACAAATGTTGGTGTAAAGGTCACACTTCATTAAAGTTCGACAATCATTATAATAAAGACATTGTAGTCACATTTTTGTAATTTTTCTCATATATTTTTGAAATATTATTTGTAGAATCACCGTTCAACAAATAATAACAAACAAAATGGACATACAGTTCATATTAAAAAATCTGGTTCACGAATCAAACAACGTTCACTTACTGCTTTATTTTGAACAGAAATTCTTTATTATTTCTTTATTATATCTTTATTGCTTTATTTTGAACAGAAATGCTTGTTATTTTTCTGTGACAAAAGTACTTAGTTCGCGCCTCTTGTTCCGAAACTTAAAAATTAGAATCTTTAAAACAATTATCTTGCCTACAGTTGTTTATGGATGCGAAACTTGGCCGCTTACATTAAGGGATGAGCAGCGTCTTAAGGTTTTTGAAAATAAAGTATTGCGTAGAATATTCGGACCGAAGAAGGATGAGTTAACCGGAGAGTTCAGACGGTTACACAACGCCGAATTGCGTGAGCTGTATCCGGGTAATATAATTGAGGTAATTTCATCGCGGCGAATCAAATGGGCTTGTAAAGTTGTTGGGCTTAGTAACGAGAGAATTCCTAAAAGGTTAATATTTGCTGTGCCGAATGGTAAGCGTCCGAGGGGTAGACCGAAGCGAAGGTGGGAAGATTGCATTAAAGCCGATCTGAAGGGACTGGGTTTGGACGGCGAACGGTGGAGGGAGGTGTGTAACAGGCGATTGGTGGTGTCGGCATCGAACCTTCGGGTTCACTAAGCCTTATTATTATTATTATTATTATTATATATTATTATTATTTTTTGATTCTTTATTGAAGATCCATCGTTAATGATGCATATGGCAGCAAGACTTATAAACTCTAATGCGAGTCAAGATACGTTAATACTGGAGTTGCAGGAACTGTCAATAACAGTATGTATTAACATAACCATATTATTTTATTTTATTTACAAATTAATTTATCCGTAAAGGTTCATTAGCATACTACATACGTTTTTGTTATTTACCATATTACATATTGCTAAGGTAAATATATCAGTCATAGACATTTCCAAAGAGATAAATATAGAAAATATGAGGTATTTACCCATTATTTTAATTGGCTAAAATAAAACATTTATGTTACCATGCTAACTCAGGTGGGAAGGGCTTAGCTTGGATTTTACAAAGCAGCTTTAAAAAAAATATAAAAAAATATGGTGCTCGCAACACACAACTTTCTATTAACTTTAGAAATTATTTTCTGGCAACGTTGGGCTATTATAAAATTTTTGAAGTGCATTTTAAACGGAACTAAAGCTTAAAGCTTACAGATAACAAATCATTAAAATTACATAAATTCTATTTAATTAGAAGTTAATTTATTATTAGCCATATTTACTCCAATTTAAAAAAAAAAATTTGTCAGTTAATGACTACTCATCACAATGACGATGTTTCGGCTCGTCGAGCCATTTTCAAGTCTAAAAATTTTTTTTTCATTTACAATCATATATTAACTTTAACATATTTCAAATTATAAAGATTCTCATTATGTACCTAAAATACCCATTATGTACCTGCCCTTTTCACTTATGCGAATTGCAAGCGTCTACTCATAATAAAATTCCTTATTATGTGTCATGTTCATCTTTAATTATTTAACAGCATTATTATTACTCAATTCTTTACTATTAAATTGAGTTACTATTACGATTCAAATAAGTTAAAATTACCTTGTTTCTGAGTCACCCACATGTCATCCATCTCATATCTATTCAGTGACTGGTTATTCTTATATTAGTAGGGAAAGACTACATAATCATATAATCATATAAAAGAAATCAAAGCACAAATATATCAAATTCTATTAGAAAATTGGTACCCCATTCGATTATTGATTTGTGATTGATCATTGGCGCATTTATGTTTAAGGACGGCACTGGCCACACTGCCATATTTTATTTATCCTGCAATTATAATTTATTCTAAAGGACACTAGTCCCAAGATAATACAATTATTTTCATTTGATTTCATCAATAATAATAATAATAATAATAAGAATAAGACAGTATATTTAATTCTGGAACATTTAATCCCCTAAGAATAACTACAGTGAACAAAAAAAAAGACAATTGTCTGGTACTATAAGAAAAAAAAATATTTTAAAGTCTATTAATAGTGCTTCGATTTCGATGAAACTTCTTTTGTTTTTTAGGCAATTTAAATACCTTTGAAACATCTTAACACAACATTCCCCAAAAAGTGTATACTTTTTGAGTTATTCGGAATTTAATTTTACCATCCCTCGAAACTTTTTTTCCAGCTTCTTTTCGCTGAAGTATGTTATATAGATAAATTTGAAGGGTGTCGAGAAAATGACTTTAGCGAAGTTTCAATGAAATCGGTACATTCGTTTAGGCGCTACAGTCTATAGCTACGTTTTTCTGCATTTTTATTTTTTTTTTCTCCTTTATTAACTTATCAAATTCTTTCAAAAGTTATATTTAGCATTTTTTTGTAACTCTGAATAATGCGAAATAATTATACTTTATAAATAAACCATATTAAAGGTACTTTAGAGGAAGACGTATATGAACATTGGCCATTTAAGCCCTGTAAAGTGACATCAATAGGGATAAGACCTAATTGATATTAAAGACCACTTAAGTATACAATGATACACCGAGTTTAATCAAAATCGTTAGAGCCGTTTTTGAGAAAACTGTGAAAATGTGTTTCAGCGTTGATATAAAGTGGCACTTCCGGTTAGCCGATTTTAAGGAAAAAGTTGCCGTCACAACTAAGGCATATACCTATCTTAAATACGTGATATCAGTTTCATAGGACTTTTCGTTTTTGAGATAGACTGCTAACATACAAACACACAGACACATCATTTCGACTCAGGGTACCTCAAAACGTATAAATCCGTCGAAAACTCAGATTCAAAAATTTTCTCGATCGCAATACTTACACTTACTATATATTACATATATACGTAAGTGAAAGTAATAAGTAGTTAACATAACACAATAATCCAATCTTAAAATTAAAATAAATTAAGTACAAGTAAACATATTAATTTGCACATTAATATATATGATGTAGAGATGGTTGACCGTTGATATAATATGAGAAGGAGTTAGTCGAGGGTGCGGTCAAATAATAAAAAATTAAAATATATTAATATATTTTAATTTTTTATTATTTGACCGCACCCTCGACTAACTCCTTCTCATAAATATATATGAGTGTATTCATATATTTATTCTGATTAACAATATTGTTAATATATAAATATCACTGATATAACAGTCCAATGAAAGTGTCAGCTCTTAAATACGAAATTTTGTTCTTATATGTGTTCAGAAGATTGATTGCTTAGGAGGTGGAAGAATAATTGTTGTTCAAATATGGTTAAGGAAGAGGATTTGCGTATGGAGGCAGGTAATGAATTCCAGAAAAAGGTAGCACGCATGACAAAGGATTTTTTAAAGGAAACGGTTCTATGAGAGGGAACAAATAGGTTTAAGGATTGGGATCTCGTGTTAAACGAATGAACAGAAGAACTAGGAGGAAACAGATCAAGGAAGTAAGATGGCTTTTTGGTTGTAAAGGTTAGGAAAAGGAATACACCTAGGAAATATTGCCGTCGGAAGACTGGATAGAGCCACTTCAAGTCTGCATTAGTGATGGGGCCATATGGCCGGAGCTGTGATTCTGTCACTGTGACTGGGCCGGAGCTGGTGATCACAGTGACAGGCGCACCGAAATCACAGTGACGGTCACTGTAGGCGCTGTGATATCACAGCTCTAACCACTCCGCTCTATCACTTCTTTTTCGTTCTAGCAATCTGGGCATTGTTGACTTCATCAATTTAATAAATGAATTAAGAAAATAATCATGAAATTATTATTTCTAAAATAATAGTTATTCGTCAAATTTTATTAAAAATACTTTTTGAACTTCAGATGAATTGAGCATTCATTGCCATATATTTCTGAATGAGTTATGTCTGAAATAATTAACAGGAAGTTTTTCACTTAACTGTTGAAATATAAATAAAAAAATTAATTAAAAATTAAATAAATTCAAATATTCTCTGCAGGGCTGTACACAGTAACCAATGGATCCCAGAGATATTTTCCCCCATCAAATATAAAATTTATCACAGGAAAAAAAAATTATTTTAATATAAGTTTAAACATGTAAACTATAATTTCAAAGTGACGCTTTCGCCAAGTAGCCATTGTATATTTGACACCGGAAAAAAATCACTGTAGTGACAAATCACTGTGATTTGTCACAGTGATTTTCCCGGAGCTGTCACTGTCGGAGCTGTGACAGAAAATCTCTGTCACACCCCATCACTAACTGGAAACGTGGGCGTTTCTGCTACTTTTGAAAAACGTAGATGAACTGTTCTTTGACAAAAAACAACAGTTCTTAAGAACTATTGAAAAATAGTTCATAGAACAACGCAACCATTCATGGAGTAATACCTATTCGTTTGATAACAAGTCTGGAGAGGAATGAGTCGTTTTATGTGTGAAGTTTGGTATATTGTTCAGGCTTGAAATTGATTACCTGGAATTTATTTTTACTTTCACTTACGTATATATCTAATATATGGTAAGGGAAAGTATTACGATCGTGAAAATTTTCGAATTTCAGTTTTCAACGGAAATACATGTTGTGAAGTCCCCTGAGTACAAATAACCAAGTGTCGCAAAATGGTCTGTGTGTCTTTAACAGTCTAGCTCATAAACGAAAAGTAGTACGAAACTGATATTAAGTATTTAAGGTTTATATATGAGCCGGATGTGACAGTAACTTTTTCGTTAAAATCGGCTAACCGGAAGTGCCACTTTATATGAACGCTGAAACACATTTTTACAGCTTTCTCAAAAACGGCTCTAACGATTTTGATGAAACTCGGTGTATCATTGTATAATTAAATGGTCTTTAATATCAGTAAGATATTTTCCCCATTGACGTCACTTTACAAGGCTTAAATGCCCAATGTTCATATACGTTTTCCTCTAAAGTGCCTTTAATATGGTGTATTTTAAAAAGTTAATCATTTCGCATTATTCAGAATTACGAAAAAATGCTACATATAACTTTTGAAAGAATTTGATGAGTTAATAAAGCAGAAAAAAAAAATTGGAGAAAAGCCTGCCTTGCTATAGACTGTAGCACCTAAACGAATGTACCGATTTCAATGAAACTTCGCTAAAATCATTTTCTCGACAACCTTTAAATTTTTCTATATAACATATTTCAGAGAAAAGAAACTGGAAAAAAAAGTAAAAGAGATGGTAAAATCAAATTCCGAATAACTCAAAAAGTATACACTTTTTTGTTGATATTGTATATGTTTTTTTTTTTTAAATTGTTAAAATCGGACAATTAGGAGGAAAGATATGGTCTCAAGTTTTTTCCCCTGAAGAGGCGAAAATTAGTATAAATTTAAAATATACTTTTTTAATTGTTAAGAATAAAAACACTTATTTTCTACAGATATTTAATGAAGTATCTTACCTCAGAACATCTTTCATAAGAAATAAGGACCTAAATTTATACCTTTATTCTCAGTTCTATATTTCAACACTGCAATCACCACCTCCGGTATCAACTTACTCATTGTATGCATAGATAACTTTTTCAACTAAAAATATCACTAAATTGACATTACTCAAAAATGTTGAAATTGGAGTTAGTCATTCTGTGGTTTATAAAAGCAAAGAAAGTTGTGTGGTTTATAAAAGCAGATGGAGTGACTAGATTTGTATTGTCTACCGCCGATATATTAAATATACATTTTGTAATTATAATGGTCTTAATGACTTGTTATCTGTAAGCTTTAAGCTTTAGCTCCGTTTAAAATGCACTTCAAAAAATTGTATAATAGCCCAGCATTGCCAGAAAATAATTCCTATTCAAAGTAGAGCGGTAAGTGAAAGTTGTGTGTTGCGCGCACCAGATTTTTAATATTACATGAATGGTTAATCTTAAAAAATTACTCTTTGACTAATAAAACTAAAAATTATTTTTTACACGAAGAAAATTTTTTATGTTATTAATATTTTGATTTTCTTGTATGTTCGAAGTTTGAAACTATGCTGCTTGGCCATCATGAGTCTTTTAACTGTAACAATTTTCCAACTGTTTGTATTTTTCAATTTTTATATAAAACTAGGTGATGTACCCATCTTTGACGGGTGTATAGTTAAAATTTGAGAGGTTAATTTCATAACATTGGGAGAGGTAATTTTAATTTTTAGAAGTATTTTTTTCCGATTTCCGGCTAATCCGTTTGGTTAATCCTAAAAAGGTTTACAACAACATTCGTTAGGCTCGGGAAGTTGAATAGAATGACACCTTGAACGGGAAGATCGGACAAAGTTGAAAAATGAGTGTGTTTTAAGCGTTACAGAAGTTTGATATTTCGGATTTTTCCCGTTGAGTTGCGATAATTGTTTCCATCAGTTGAATAGTACAACTGTTAAATATGGCTCGCGGTAGAGTAGGTTGGGATGAGAATCGAAGTAACTGCCTAACCGGGATCTCTAAACAAATTTCCCAAGAATTCATAAATCTGGTTCTATTCAATATCTTGTTTTCATTTAAATCCTATGTTTTAAGTCAAGTAAATTTTAATATAATGTTAAAATTTCAAAAGTCTACAATAAGCCTTTGCTGAGCTTATCCCTGACATAATTTTGTTGCAATGCGGACATACAGACAAAAATTTTTTTTAAAAATGGATTTGGTGTCTGTAATGTATAAAACGGAAAGATATCATGAAACGGGTTCATTCAATTCAATGTACAGACAAAATCTTTATTTTTTTATATAGATGTTCTTTAACCTATAAACATGTGTTTGTTATTAATATTTATTATCAACATTAACCTAGATATCTAGACATTACTCAAGAATTCATAACTTTGTGTATAATAAATATTTTATTTTCATTTAAAGCCTATGTTTTATCTCAAGTAAACCTTAATGTAAGGTCAAAATTTCAAAAGTCTACAATAAGCCATGACTGAGCTCACAGGCAAATTTACGTGGGGGAGGGAGGCTTTCGGGCTGAAGCCCCCCCCCCCAAAAATGGTAAAATGTAACCATGTTTTATGGTAAAAAATATTAAAAAATTATGCCTTAAAGTATTAATGCTCGTTCAATTACATTTAATAGGACTTCAAGAATCATATAGTAGTTTCTTTCTGTTTTTCCAAAGTAATTATCATTGTATATATGAAAAAAAAGCTTCCGGGCTGAAGCTTTTTTTTCACCCCAAAATTAAATCTTGAATCCGCTAGTGGCTGTGCTTACCCCTGAAAAATTTCGTTGTAATGCAGACATACAGACTGACTAAACATTTTTTGAAAGTGGATTTGGTGTCTGCAATGAATGAAACGGAAAGATGTCATAAAACGGGTTGATTCTATTCAATGTACAGACAAAATCTTTATTTTATTTATATAGATAACAGTATTTAATTTTATATATGCAATTGATTTGATTTATGTAAATATGATCAATCAAAAATTATTTTCGTTACAAATATGCAAATAGTTATTACTCCTTGAATCGTTGCGTTGTTCTATGAACTTTTTTTTTTTTTTCAAAAGTTCTTAAGAACTGTTGTTTTTGTTCAAAGAACAGTTCATTTACGTTTTTCAAAAGTAACAGAAACGCCCACGTCTAAAGATGAGTGAGGAAACTAGGAGTTGGCAGGTTTTTAGGTGCATAGTTTAAACGTAGCAATGAATTTTCGGATTATTTGTGAAACATGATTATTCCAGGAGAGGTATTGATCGAAAATTTCTCCGAGATTTCTAATAAGTAGGTAGAAGTTTGAAGATGTGGTAAAAAAATATTCCTATCAGTGTACAATTTGAAATTAACTTGTGTTTAATTGAAAGATAAGAACAATCGATAGTCAATAGGACCATCGTTAGTGCTATCGATCACTTTGAACTATCGATATATCGTGTATCTCTACCAATGTTTGAATAACCTTCCTTATTTATTACCTCTCTGGTTGACACTTGTAAATAATCAATATACGTTCAGTTTAGAAAGTGTTTTTTAAGTAACGATGGAACAAATAGGTAAGTGTTACATTTATTTCAGATATCTAACAAGTAAATATTCTACAATTAACCTCTCAGAATTTCGGAGATATATTACATAATTATAAATTGTTTTTTTTTTTAATTTGTTTTAAAAGGAATGTAACACGTCCTGTGTTTTAAAATCGAAAATTTACTGTATATATTTGAGTTAGTAGGCACAAGCCCTGCCTATTTTTTATTGATTACATCTATGATGGGAGAGTAGCCATGGCATACATTTTGTTAAAGTTTTATAAATTAAAATATTGGTTTTTATTATTGTCTATGGTAGATTAAAACTAATGATAATAGCCTTGAGATCTCTTGGACACCTTGAATGG